ACTATTTCATATAGCCTCTCATACTCTATCTCGCCTACTCTATTATACCCCATTCATACTCCGCTTTTACAGGTCATAATAAGAACTGGGCAAAAAATTTTTAATATACCATGCAAAATTGCATTCAATTGCGTCTGCCAGCGAGTGTGTATGTGTGCGTTGTGAGATACTCTGTATGGGTGTGTGTGTGTGGGTGAGAGTTTGCACAAGTGCTGTAAATTTCCTTATTTGCCCTGCCAAAAAGCTGCGCCCCAGCCCCGCCCCGCCTTGCACTCGGAAAAACTTACCCACAATTTAACTCAAACAAAAACGTTGCAGAAATGAAATTTGTTACATTTTTGTTGTTGTTGTTTTTTGTTGTGTTTATTTATAAAAATTTTAAAAAATTTCTCAGCATGTGCAAATAAGTTGGCATTTTTATTCATTTATGCAGCCACACTCACCGCCCTCACACATACTCACACACCGAGCGAGTGCAATTTCTCGTTAAATGTTCTTTATCTCTCTTTCTTTTTTTTCTGTTTTTTGTTTTTTGTTTGAGTTTTTGCGGCACGAACCACGAAAATGAAAACTAAATGCAATAAACGATTGCGCCTAAAAGATGCAACAAAAAGTCAACGCTCAGCGATTAGCACATATGCCCGGCCCTCGCCGGGAGAGGGAGCGAGACGGCGAGAGTGTGCGTGTGTGTGGTCGCCATTTTTTTGCTTCGGCGAGTTTAGCGTTCATTTAATCTTTGTCTGCTGCAGCTGCAGTTGCGGCTGTTGTTTTTGCTTTTGTTGTGTTGTCTGCTCGGCTCTGCTTCTTCTTTTTTATTCTTTTTGGGATTTTTTGCTTCGCTTTGTTCTGCATTTTGCAATTTTGCGTTGCCTACTTTTGTGTGTCGTTTTTTGGTTTTTGCGCCTGTGAATCGTAATGAAATTTTTTCGGGTTTTGGGCCCAAAAAAACAACAAAAAAGGTAAAAGAAAAAAACAGTAGAATATAGAGTGGGAAATAAAGTCGTGAAAATTGCCAGAGAATTGCAAAAAATAAAAAATTGAACAGCGAAAAACGCTACGAAATTTCATTTCAATGCAATTTGGCTGTAATTGTTTGGAAAACGACGCTAGGTTTTTGATTGACAGAGGGAGAGCGAGAGAGGAGAGCTAGAGAGAGAGAGAGAAGCACATGAGCTCAAACACACACAGACACGACAGCTTTGAGTATGGATAATGCATTGTAAATGGAGATTTAACTAAGAGAATGGCATTTGATATAGAAATTACTTAACTGGAAATGGAATACAGTAGAGCAGGAAACAAACAGTGAAAATAGAGCACAAATAAGTCAGTAGAAAGTAAATAAGACAACTATTATTATACGAATCATATGTCTCTCAACATTTATGGGATCTGCTCGAAAACTTGGATATATAAGTGAATGAAGTACTTAAGGCAAAAACAGTCTAGCTTGAAAATGTTTCCCTGAAGTTCTTTGTTTATAGAGTTGATATCCATCTTCAGACTGTACCGTACATATCTAAGCCATTGGCATCAGCATTCATTATGTCTTGAAGTTATCAACTATAGAGAGTAAATATTAATATAACTTTTACTATTCAACTCATTGATGAAAGAGATGAAAGAGTGTTCTCTCTATAACTACGCAACCAAAACCGAATTACCCTTATACAAGCTATTCCCGCAACACACAACTCCCTCTCCCTCTCTATATATATATCTATATTCAGTCGAAAAGAATTGCAAAAAATAACATGACCGCAGGCAACACGTTAAGGGATGAGGCCAGCGCCAAAGCCAATAGCTTTCATTTTTTAGCTAAGCCAACAACCAACCCGCCAGCCCGCCAGCCCGTCCCCTCGCCCAGTGAGCCGCCCCCGTAATCTGTCGTCTATATTGACACAACATGCCAATTTAGCTAGGCAGGTGGCGACCTTGTGGCTGCGGCTTTTGCGGGTGTCGCACGACACAGCCTCAGCAGGAGCAGAGGCTGGGGCATGGGCCGGAGGCGGGGGCGGAGCAAGGGTATATATTTAGCTGGGCATGCTGCCATATCAACTGACAAAATAATTAATTTTATTCCAGTTTTTTTCTTCCAAGTTAACTGTGCACAGGAAGAGAGTGAGAAGAGGCTGACGACGGGCGTATACGACTGCGTGATACTCGTTCAATTTGAGAATCTCCAATGTGCCAACATTATGATTGATAGCTTCAGCTTCAGGTTCGCTTTCCCAGAGCTAAATGAAGTTAATCTATAAATGCATATATAGTACATATATACACTATATATACATATATAGTTTAGAGGTATTACAAAAGACATATATAAAATATTTCGCTTTCTTATCTCAAAATTAAATCAGATTCAGCTCCAAGCTCCAAACCAATACACTCACATAGCAGTATACCAGTGAGCATTGAAAGAGAGCAAGATAGAGAAAGCGAGAGAGAGACAGAGAGATTGGTAATTCATAGAACGTGTGGAAGTTTTGGCATTTGCTTTGAAAGCGACGCGCTACGCATACGCAATTAAATGCGCCTTACGCAGTGTGCGAAAAAAATAGCTAAAGAGGCAGCAGCAACAGCAGCAGAAAGAAAGCGCAAAGAGAGAAAGACAGAGAGAGAGAGAGAGAGAGAGCGGGAAAGAGAGAAAGTGTGTGTGTCTCGACACTTGGCTTAAGCGGGGCGTGTACGCAACACACGCCCACTTGGAAGTCGCAATTTCAGCTTCGTTGTAATTAGTTTTCGCCGCAAGTTTTTTTCACTCCCATTCCCCCGCTACCCCTCCGCTCACACCCCCTCTCTGCGCCCTTGCCTGGCTAAAGTTTGCGCTCTTTTCTTTGCTCTTGAGTTTCTTTTGCCTTTTTTTTTTGCCTTTAGGTATTTTATTGAATTTTCTTTTCATTTGTTTGTTGATTTTTGGGATTTGCCGCATTTCGTATGCACAGCGGATCAGGCGGGCAGCGGGCGGAAGCGAGACGGCAATAGACGGCCGGAGACGGACAAACGTAACGGAGCTCAAGCAGCAGACAAATCTCTGTCTAAGTTGTTGTTGCTCTGGATGCTCTGCTTGGTCGCCTGTTTTTCCAATAAATTACTTTGTAATCAAGTGAATTCGAGTGCAAAAATAGGTGAGGAGCGTGCCAGGGGGCGAGGCAGGTCGGAAATGTCGCAAGGACTCGATAAATGATGACTATAATTTGCAGCCAATATGCTTGCCATTAGAATCTGCTTATCTGCCGAGTGGAAAGAAACCGCAGACGAGACACAAATGACGAAAATCACAATGCGAATGATGGAGGATCGAATTCGACTTAAGGAAATGAGGATATTAAGGAATTTCCTTGATTTCGAGATGAGTTGACGGAGCTACAAATGAACTATAGCTACAAATTGGGTAGATGAGTTGTCTCTAAACACTCTACAAACTTTACAAACTCGAAATACTCTACACGTTCTACATACTCTACACACTCCACATACTCTACACACTCTAAATATTCTACATACCCTACATACTCTACATACTGTACACACATTATACACTCTACATACTCTACACACTCTATACACTCTACATACTCTACAATTCAAAACACTCTAAATATTCCACATACTCTACACACTCTACATGTTCTACATACTCTACATACCATACAGACTCTACATACGCTACATACCGTACATACTCTACATACACTACCTATTCTAAATACTCTACATGTTCTACATACTCTACACACTCCACATACTCTACACACTCTACATATTCTACATACCCTACATACTCTACATACTCTACACACTCTACACACTCTACACACACTACACACTCTACACACTCTACATACCGTACATACTCTACATACACTACCTACTCTACACACTCTACACACTCTACATACTCCACGTAACAACTGTACCAAGGCAATGTCCTTTAATCAATCGATTTATCACCATCTTCCTTTGCCTCGCCTTCTCTTTCTTTCTACTTCCTCTCCTGCTTGCTTTAAGCCTTTTAACTTAGCCAAGTCCTATAGCCAATATTTTATATCGCATGCATATGGCTAATACGCTTAACAAAGCCAAGAAATCAACAATAAAAACATGTACAAAGTCTAGCAATCGGCTGTTACTGACTAAGCAATACTCTGTACAAGGTGTGCAGTGAGGCGGAATCAAGGCTGAAATTTGAATAGTGACTCTAAAACCTGTTCTAATATCTGTCAAACTGCATATGAATTACCTTGAATATCTAGAGATGCTGGGCTGTTTCTTGTGGAGGAATATGTGTGCAGCTAATATACCCCTTTCATACATGACTAACAGGGCAGATGAAGACTCTGCGTGGCTGCCAAGGCGACTCGACGTAGAAGCAACAAGAAAGCAAACATGATGAATTTATTGAATGAGGAACTATATACATATTATATATCAGTGTGTATATACATATATATGACAATCTATATGTATGAAATATAATTGCTTGAATAAAAATTTCAATGGAAGACTGAAAGAGCTAAATGTCTGTCAGTGGCAGATGCGGGCGCAATGATAGAATTAAAATTGGACTGCAAGGATTGTAATTACGCTCAAATGATATAAAAAACAAGCACAAGGATATGCAGCATGCTGAGCCAGAAGGAGACAGAGAGACAACGAGGGAGCGGGAGCAAAGTTTTGCCTCGTTTTTAATGAAATAAAATAAATGCAGCGAACAGAGTAGCTCAAGGAGCAAAAGCAGCGGGCGGCAGCAGAGGCAAGAGAAGAGCAGACAAGAGGAGTAGAAAAGCAGCTGGAAGAAGAAGAGGAGGAGAAGGAGTAGAAGCAGAAGCAGGGGGCAGAGCAGCAGCAGGAGGCAGCAGGTCGCCGGCTTCTGCCGCAAGGACAAAAGGCAAAAGTTGACATTACGATTGTGTTTATGGCATTGTTTGTGAAACTGTGTGTGTATGTGTGTGTGTGTTTGTGTGTACTGTTGATATTATATTACATTTTATAAATTACATTTTGTGCGCAGGCTAATGCACAACATAAAAAGCCAAAGGCTTGATTTTTATTTCTTGCCTTCAGTTGCATGCAGCAAATACTTATGCGCCGTAAAGCAAGTTGCAGATGGGGTATATTAGTTGCCAGTTTTGATGGAAATAAAAATACATAAAATATATGGTTATAGTTATAGAAAGGCATAGCATAGATAGGGCATATATTGTATAGGATTTCACTTTGGCATAATTATCTATTGGGGAAAACAAAGAATTAGATAATCCTGAATAAATAGAGAAGAATCAGATATTACCTTGCCCTAATGTGCCATAAATCAAAGGGAATCTTTTTCTCTCGCTGTGCTTTCAATACCCTTCAGCAGCCTTCCCACCACAAGTAGAGCATCGCCTGGTCGGCTACAGCCGACTCGCGCTTATTATTTTAGCTGCTGCTGTACATTAGCAGGTCCTTCGTCCTTCGCTCGAGTTTGACTTCAATTGCAGCAACGGAAATGCATTAAGAAATTCAACTTTGGCCCATGCAACAGTTGCACCAATCAAGCCACGCCCTCTCCTACCTCTCCGGCTGCCGCCCCCCGTCTTCTTTTTGTCAAATGCTTTTAATAGGCACTTGCATAATACAAATACATATTTCCACATTTCCATAAGCCATTCCGTCAAACCTCCTCCCTCCCATCCCTCCTCCCTCCTCCCTCCCTCCTTTTGAACTGTTAGCTAATGCGATGTCTAGCCAATATATCGATTCATATGTGACTTATTTATTTATACATATATAGAAAAATAAATATTGTGCTACAGTGAACACATATTGAAAGCGAAATAAATATATTTGAAATGAATGTACAGTGAATGCTCACTAGAGGGGAAACAATTGCAAATATCAAAGAGAAGATACAAATTAATTTATAAAGTTTTGGTAAAATTGAAAATATTTTAGAGGAGTAATAAAGAAGATATTTCTATGCTCTAAGCTGATATTTTGTGCAAATCAAAATTGCAAAAATATATTAGGAAATAGAGCAATACGAATAGCTCAACACAGTTGAGTATTTATGGTCTTCACTGTACACAGAAAGAATAAAGTAGGAATGTGGAATGTGAATAGATCTTCATATAGACGCTACAGATTCTAAGAAAGGAACGTATTTACTTTATCAGTAGAACAGTATATAGGGAGTAGGATAGCAAAGGAAGCCCTTAGGCAGGTGTTCACTGTAACAGTGACATTCAAATCAAAGCTTCAAATTAAAAAACCAATTCAAATAAGTGGCTAATGAGAGAAAGAGAAAGGGAGAGTGAGAGAGGGAGGAACCCCATCGACGCCTAAAAGCGCGTCACATTTATACAAAATTTGTTTTCACTCAAATTTTTCATGTTTTCCCTTCTATTTTTCTTTTTTGCTGTTGTTGTAATTTTGTTATTGATATTTTTATGACAAATAATCCGCTTTCACAGCAATTGATGTCAGGTGAAATGAAAGTTAATACCCAACAACGAGTCCAATTTGATTGGGGCGCAGCTGATAAACTTTTATGATTAAATATATATATATACATATATATATATACATATATATATTTATATATATATTTGATGTCGCTGTTATCGATGATAAGGCTAATGATCCCTTTGCCAATCATTATGATTGTATTACACATATTTGGCTTTAATAATAATACAAAACCCAAGCCGCCGCCCCCTCAGCCTCTCCCACCCTCCCCCACTGCATTTGGCCTTATCGCTCGACCTGTTTGATTTTGTATTAAATTAGTGTCGTATAAATGTTTTTGTTGCTGTTGCTGTTGTTGTTGAGGCAGCTGGCAGCAGTTCCCACGACTTATCACAACAGCAACAACAACAACAACAGTTATTTACAACAATTTATTAAACAATTTTATGGTGTTATCGTTGCATTACGCATACGCCGCATGAGCCCAGCCTCTGCCTCACTTGTAATGTAATTTCCGTTATGCATTTCCGTCCCGTCCTCCTCCCCTCCCAGCTGCTCTTCATTGAAAATCGTGCGTACATTTATTTATCTGCTGCAGTTTGGCAGCATGCGCGCCACTTCATTTCCGTTGCCGCAGCTCATTGCTGACATCATCGCTGCTGCTCAATGTGCCACGCGCATTGGCAATGTTCCAGCTGGCGATTTCAGTGGGGAAAACAGGGATGAGCGGGCTTCGACAGAAATATCCTGAACTATGCAGCAGCTGATCTGGCCTGGCATGAGCAGAGGCTGAGGAGGATCTTCTCGCTTATACATGTCGAGCAGAATGATAGCAATTATTATAATAATGATACAGCTAATGCTAATGATGCACGAGCTGAAGTGAGCAGAGGACACTAATACTACTGATACTAAGTCTAAGTCTAATACTAGGAGTAATGACAATGCTGATCAATACCAATAATCTATACTAATCAATGCTAATAATCAATAATAATAATACATAGAGCAATACTAATGTCAATACTTATATTGATAATAATACGCATACCAATGCAAAATGAAGCCCGGCTCAAACTTTTCTCCTAGTTCCATCTCTAAGAATCATAATCTAGCTCAACTCGTCTATCACTAATATATGTACATATGTCTTACCTTACATCGGCTTACCGTTATTTGTGTCGATCCCCTTCAATTCGTTCTCCATTTGCGCAATCCTCGCAAATTGCCATGCAATTTATTTGTAGTCTACTTATTGGCGCTGACTAGCTCGGTTATCCTCAGCATTGTCATTGTTTATACTGATGCCAGACAATTTCAACTCGCTCTCCTGCCTCTTCTTCTTCATCAGCTACCCCAGCTCCAGCCCCAGCCCCAGCCATAACCACTGGCTGACGAAATTGGCTTCAATTATGCGCCGCATTATGAAATTATGAAAGTAAGTAGCTGCAGTTGCCTTCGCATTCGCATTCGCATTCGCATTCGCGTTCGCTTTCGCTTTGGCCAAATGTAATTGCCGCAATTTGCAGTCGCAGTTGCAGTCGCTAATAACGTTTATTAAAACCATAACAACGTGGCCATCCTACCCTACCCTGCCCACCTCGTCTCGTGTACCATTAACAATGAATGTGGCATGTGTGGCATGTGTGGCATGTGGCATGCTGCATATGTGTTACGCTGGCAAATTATGCAAATCCTTGTGAAGCACATTAATGACAATTAATCGCTGCAAATTAAAATGATGACAATGCTCCACATATGCCACAAGGATTTATATGCAGCCTCGCTCTCCCCCTCTCCCCTCTCTCTCTCTCCATCTCTTTCTCCATCTCTTAACGCTAAATTATGAACTAAGCTGGATAGTTGATAAAGTGCTCGCCATTCAAGCGCCCCACGTCGCGCTCCCGCTGCTCCTGCCTGCGCTCCTCGTGCCGTCCATCGAGTCCCACGCCCAGGCGCTCTATGAACTTGGCCGAACGATATCCATTTTTCTGAAATTTAATTTTTAATATAGTATATGTAATATATTTGTAAATATATATGGCGTATAGCTCACCTCGTAGTACAGAGCACGCGCTTTTTTAGCCGCCTCTGGATCGAAATCCCAATCGGTTCGCACGTGAGTTATCGGCTCTCCAGCTACATTGTTTTGCAGCGTTTCACTGATCAGTCGCAGGATGAAGCCGTCAGCTGTGCGAGAGCTCAATACCAATAGAAAGCACTGCAGGAAGAGAAGAGTAAAATGAATAAATAATTACTTGAACTGATCGACTTATGATTTGAATATTGTAGAAATGTACTCTAGGCTAAGCTCAGTTGATCAGAGCTAAATATTTACGACCAATTAGGACCCTTATCTCAGTTTGAGGCCATTACGAACCGCTTTATACACATGAATAATACTACTATTAATCCATAAGCATAATTATGCCAGAATGATGACAACATTGACACTGATTACGGTCATTATACTCATTATAGTTTTTACTACTCATCATGAACATAATAAATATAATTAGCCCTATTATGAGCAAATTATCCGTAAGATAATGCTATAGCAAAAAGATCATTAATGATTAAAATTGCATCGTCAATATAAAAAAAAATTGTATTAGAATAATATTAATAAGAATACACATAATTTTAAGATAACAAGCGTTAAGAGTTAACGCTATATATAAAATATTTATAATATACAATATAATATATAATACAATATTTTGTATAAATATTTAATAAAATCAAGTTAGATTAACTAACAAATATGTTTAATCAAAATTAATTGCATCGCTCCACAGCGCCTTTCGAGAACTGCCTAGCGACTGATCAAGCTCTACAGCTGGCGCCCATTTAAGTAGGTCACACAGTCACTCAAAGTCGAGCTCGGCAAATGAGTAAAATATTCTGTGAGAGTTACTGTGAGAGCATTTTTAAGCTCATAGGAGAGGCACAGTGTATGCTAGATTTATGGGTTGAGTGATGGTGAATATAGAAGGGATAAGACAGACACACATGTGCACCATTTTAAGCATGCACACAATATTGTTTAGTTTTTTAATATCTCACTATTTAGATTTTATTAGCACTTGAATTTTGAGTAATTATATATAAATATTTAATACATTTATCTTGGGATGGCACAACTTAATAGCCATAAATCAGGGTTTCAGTTTATTTAATTACATAAGCAGCCACTCGAGGTCATTTTCGTTATGCTTAATCCAAATATTGCGCCACATTCAACTGTTTATGCACTCTCGATCCACTCTCAGTCCACTTGAGATCCACTCTAAACTTTCGATTTGAATAAAATTCGAGCCATAGCTTAAATATTTCGCACAAGCGTTTCTTACAGCTTTATTTGTTGCTTAGCAAAACGAAACGACTTTCACACTTACAGCCAACAAAAACAAATATCTCATTTGCAACATTTTCTATAATTTTGGTTTTTACTCGTGAGTAACTCAGTGCGCAGCCCGTGCGAGTCACTGGACCATTGATCACTAAATCCAAAAGCTTGAAAAAAACTGCGAAGTTGCATAAAGCGCAGCCAAGCGCCAACGCAAATATCGCATGAATAAAGAAACAAAAAAGCATCGACAAAACTTACGGTAAATAAAGTCATCTTGTTCGGCAGAGCAACACAAATGCCGATAACTTGCTGAAAGAAGTGTGAGAGGGACGGGGCGATGGCTGGAAAGGCGAGGGAGTCAAGGCGCGGAAGGCAGAACGAGGCAGAGAGTCCGTAGGGAATGAGGCAGAGCAGAAGAATGCAGGAGCGAGCGAGACAGGTAGCGTGAATAAATATTCAATAAAGTGTGGTAAGAAAACAAAAAGCTAAACGATGATTAGTTATGTCTTAATTTATGAGCACAAAACACAATGCGACAAATTAAACGAATCCACTCAAAAAAGGTCAGCATCGAACTTTGGCTTTGTTGACGACCTTGAGAAAAAAACTAAGTACCCAAAAACAATTATTTTTATTATTATTTGTTTGTCTTTTTATTTTGACTCACTTTAATGACATACCGAATTTGAAGCAGACGGAACTAAATAGCGGGCAAAGGTTAGTGCCACCTGCCATAAGAGCCCAAAGCAGCTTCAATAGAGGAAAACAGAAAAATGGCACAACAAGCTACAGAAAGACGACGGCAAACTGGTTGCACGAATTATCATTGCAGAAGTTACATAATGGACCATCAACAACATCATCATCATCATCATCATGGAGATCATGATGGGAAACCAGCAAACCAGAAAAAAACTAAGACAACAACACTTCAGTAATTTGGCCTCAATTCCGTCAACTTTATTTATTTATTTTTTTTTTTTGCGCTGCTTTAACAGCTGTGCCAAGCCACGCTCTCTGCTCTCCCATTCTCTCTCACTCTTTCACTCTCCCACTCAGCCGCACTTGCATTTAGCTACGTGCCTGGCTGCATGTCAACCTATCAAATTTATCTATTAGTTACGCTTGCTGCCAAAAAGCTCTCTGCGAATTTCCGGCTTCTGCTGTCCAGGAAGCAGCGCGCTGCTTTAACATCTGCTCGCTCTCAGCACAGGACTTTCACTTTCGTTGAGACGAAACACACGCATTAGTATTGAGTAAACAACAGAAGATTTCATGGAGCTTTCCAAGCGGAGCTTTTGAAGCTCTTGCGCTTGCGCTCTGCAACGCGCGTCGTCTGCAACTGGAATTCAGTTACCAAACAAAACGCGTGCGGTCAACAACACAGCGGCAACAACGATTTAACCGTTAGCTTTGTAAAACGTGATCAAGCAATAAATACAGTGGAAACATTCGGATATATTTGCAGACAAACTTTTTTTTTTGGTTGCTGTAGCCATGGCAAATTTGAATACGCTGCTGCTGCCCGTAAGTATTTGACGGAGAGAGAGTGTGTTTGGGCTGGCGATGTTGGCCCCATCAATTAACATGGCCAAAGACAAGCGCTGACACAATTTCCGCGCGAAAGTCGCACCAAAAAGAAAAGTGTCTGCACCTGCCAAGCAAATGTGACTGGAATGCACAATGAACTCAACTTGGTGTCGTTTGCTCCGTTCCCATTGGTCAGCGCGACGACACATTTTGAATTGATGTCGGCGCCTAATTTGTAATCGCTGCACGACAGAAGCGGAAGACGAGAGCAAAAGAGAGACCTTGAAATGTGCTCATTGCCCAATTCTGCAAGTGATCGAAGCGGCTTTTCCACTCTCGCGCTCTCACGCTCTCTCGCTCTCACACTCTCCCCGACAGGCAGCGCATTGGCCAATTGCAGAGCTTACAAAATGTGTCATAATCTTAAAGCTCAGCCACTTGTTTTACTTTGGTTTCATTACTGTTGTTATTGTTGCGTTGCATAATCATGGCAATAGCCGCTGTTGTTGTTTTCTTTGTTGTAATTGTTGTTGTTCCAACTCATGCAAGACTCGAGCCGAATTAGTTGTGCATTTATGTATTACATTTGATATGTGCCTGACACACTGAACTAATGAGCCGGCTACTTTTGCTTTATATATATACCTATTATTAAAAAATGATATTATATTATTATTAAAAATATTATGTTTTTCTATTTCAGCTCATTTTCTTAATTGTCGCATTTGTCGTGAACACTTCCTATGCGACAGTGCAGCCGCGTGCACCAAATTTCCAGTATTTCGAAAGGTAAGGTGTCTTTGTATAACACTTTTCATGATCATGATCTATACCAAATATTTTACCATACAGACCCAAATACCGTTATCCATACTATGATGAAAATGGGCGAGGCAAACTATTGTATGGCTACGGCGGACCGGATCTATATCAATACAAGACATATACACCGCTGGAGGGAATACATTAAGCAGCTTTAACTAAATTTAAAGCAAATATATATAATAATTGTAAATGTAGTTAAATAATTTATACAACCTAAATAAATGGCATTTTAAACAAAGTAAATAAAAATGCGCGCCAAATGGTGCAATTTTAAGTATAGATGTCGCAATTAAGAACTTTTTGAATTCTAAATGAACACTAGATGGCGCTACTACGTGTTTATGTTGTATTGTGAATGGCCACTTTTCATTGCGAATGGCAAGTTCTTAGTAGAGTGGAGGAAACAGCACAAACGTTTACCATTTTGTCAAATTTATTCAATCTATTTACTTGAATTGCATTTATAAAACTCAAAGCCAGTAAGATGTCACGCAAAGAAGCACTCTCACAGTTTATCAATCAAATACACGGCCGACCCGTTGCCGTTAAGCTGAATAATGGCGTTGATTATCGAGGTGGGCTGAAAATCGAATGCCGGCTTCTGGTTGAGAATTAAATGCTAACAAATTTGAGAATGGTTTTACAGGTGTTTTGGCCTGCCTGGATGGCTATATGAACATAGCGCTGGACCAAACGGAGGAATATGTCAATGGACAGCTAAAGAACAAATACGGCGACGCTTTTATACGAGGCAACAATGTGCTCTACATATCCACACAGAAACGGCGCGTGTAGAAAATGAAATGAAAATGAAAATGAATAAGACAAAACTTACGATTTATTTCATAAATAAATTAAAGTAATAATTTACTCCCTCAAGCCTCAGATCGTGTTGCGCGGTATCGCGCCAAAGTGTCGCAGCTGACTCAAGGAGTAGCCCGCGCCAAGCGCCGCAATTAGATTTTCGCCCCGTCGCCCGAATTTTCGCTCGTAGACTGGCCGCCAGTTGCGGCCGAAGTGTGGATCGAAGGGTATTTCGCTCGGTTGCTGGAACGGCGAGTTGCCGAAGAACAGTCGTTCGATGTAATCCAAGACGGCCTTCTTCTTCTGGAAGTGCACTATAATGGGATTCGCTTGGGCGCCATAGCGTGGATCTTGAGAGTCGAGATTCTTGAAGTATTGAAAGTTGACCAGATCCACATTGGAGAAGTCGAACGTCGCCTCCGTGCCCAGCAGCAGCAGCTGCAGCCACTGCAGGTGCGAGAAAGCACATGTTAATTAGCCGCAGCGACTATCATTTAGTTGACTAATTGCCCACTTACCACTAATCCGAATGTAATCAACACGTAGTTCCACATATCGCTACCCTTTAAAGACGCAGCTCCTCTCGGTTGTCCACTCGAAATTCAACTGATTTGTGTAAATTTCGGCTAGCGCTTGTCCAGCATGTATTGTCCGCCGATTTGCAATCTTTATACATATATATGTATGTGCATATGTATATCTGTTTTCCCCTCTTGTCTTTTGTCGTAATCAATGCCAAGTTACTCAATCGGACGCCCAGCCAAATGTAAAAGACAATACGTGGTCGCCCACCTCGACCAATTAATTGTCATGCGGGTCACATATTTTAGCCCAAGCTCCCCCTGCACAGCTGTCCACTGCTCCGTGATAACCTGTCCAAGCGTTGAGAGCAGACGAATCAAACAGCTTTTGATGACAATCAAATTGCATTCGCTCCAAATTTAACATGTCCAAAGATATATGCTGTCAGACATGTATCGAGCCATCAAATACCGTGCCCCACCTACTTTCCCACCAGCCGCCTCTTTCAAGCCTTACCTCTTTTAACATGTATTGAAAAACTTTGAATAGGCAAATCTGTTTGCTTATAGCTTTGTTTGAATTCATCTAGTCCTGCAACGCCCACCAACCGCGCCCCCGTGCCTCACTGGGCATTGCATTGCTCCAGAGTCGATGCAAAAAATAGAGCAATACAGTAAAGTCTGCCTAAATACGACAGTAAGTAAACGAAAATCTAAGAATTGATAATTAATGAATAAACTATATCAAATCTGGTAGCAATTGTGCCTTAGGCAGGTTTTACTGTAGTTCAACAAATATATAGCAAGCTAGTTAAGCGTGTGTGTGAGTGTGTAGCTTAACTATATAAAATGTTTATAAATTATTTTTATTCATATAAATTTTAATTTTAATTATGCAAATTTCGTTAGCCCGATATTTAACTCAAAATGTTTTTTTTTTTTAAGTAATATCAGAAATTGATTTAAAATATATACCAACTATATATGAATGTGTGTGTGGCCTGACTATTTTCTGTATATTTTTTTTTACTATTATTATATATAAAATCACATTCCTATTATTTATATATATTTTTTAATATTATGCAAATTTTAATGGTATTTGCATGCTTCGCTTTTCAACTTAAATTTGTTTTTTGTTTTTGTTTTTCCACTTAATAAACGCAAAGTTAAAATTGTGTGTGTGGGGGGCAAATGAAAACCAAGGCGTGGTAAGGAGATTGCTCTTAGTGTTTACTTGGACCAAGCGATCAATTGTTTCATATCTGGATCTGTGGAATGTCCAAGAAATAGTATTAGAATTAGTTGCAGTTCAATTTACAGGGTATCTGTGCTGCCTACCATCCTCTTCGTCGGTAACAACGGCCGCTGGGACTGCCTTTTTCTTTTCCTTGACTTTCTCGGGTAGATCTTCGGTTGGCGCTTCTGGCAACGTGGGCGTTGGCTCTGGTATGCCAATGATCTCCTTGTCAAAGTTCTCTTGCTCCAGTTCGTCCAGCTCCCGCTCCAGATCCTCATCATCCAGGTCGGCGCCAAAGGCCACGGGATTGGATATAGCGTCGGATATCTCACGCGCCACATCCTGTTGCTCGGCTATATCGTCCATCATATCGTGCACCTTGTCCACATCCCTAGAAGAGCAGAAGCAGGAGAGGATTAATGGGTTTTCTCTTCGGATTAGCTAGAATCTACTTACATGTTCTGGTGCGCGGATTTCAACGCGTCTGCTGCGTTCTTCATGGTGGTCAACACCGCTGTATTCGTATTGGCGCTCTCCAGGGCCTCCCGCTGCATCTCAATGGTTGATAAGGTGCCATCGATTTGCTGTAGCTGTTTCTCCAGGCGCTTCTTCTTTTTGAGTGCCTGCAGAGCGACTGGAAAAGAAGCAACAGATATTTGAGTACAGCAATTGCAGATAAGAAACTTTATGTAAACAATATGAATCTTGCATATGATGACAAATTTAGCTGTTTGTTATCTTTTGCCCAATTGTAAAAACAATTAATTAAATGTTTATATTACGTTCTTAAAGGGTTTTTAGCATACAATAGCATCCGGCCAGTTAAGCAGCAAGAAAGGCAAGAAATACACATTTATATATTGAATTCTTCATACTTCATGTTTGGCAAAGTGATCTGTTATTATTAATTTTTTTCAGTGTAAATTTCATATTTAAGGCAACAAAAACAAAAGCAAAAGTTAACAATAAATGAGTCATAGCTGTTGGCGCATGCCAGGTAAACCCAGCTGTGGCTTCTTTATTGATTAACACATACCTCTTTTATTTTTGGATGCGTTTTTGCGTGCTGTATTTAATTCCTCCTCGATTTTGGACTCGAGAAACTCTTGTTTCTTTATGAGCATATTTTCGGTCTCTCGCAGCTTTTGTATCGCCTCGCCTGTGGTGGGGGCGACCTCTTTTTTGCCGCCAAACATTTTGCCAAAGAAACTCATCGTGTTTGTCTTTGCTTTTTAGCACAAATTGTGTATTTAATTATAATTAATTATTGTTTTCCCTATTGCGTTCTCCTTGCAGACTTTTGTCTGGTGTTTTTGTCTATGGGCGAGTGTGCGTCATCGTGTTATCGAAAAATTATTAGAAACATATGCAACCAGTACGAGACGATACCGATAGGCAACATGCAGCCGTGTTGATGTAAGCCATCCCTGTGACAGTCCAGTCAATGTTGGTGTGTCAGCCCTGGAAGAGCAGAAAACAAATGCATTGAAAACAAAACACATTGAAGGTAAATAACAAATGGCAAATCGCACCGTCAAAGAGGCGAAAAACGTGCACGGCACAAATCCGCAATACTTAATAGAGAAGATCATACGCTCCCGCATCTACGACTCCAAGTACTGGAAGGAACAATGCTTTGCACTGACCGCCGAGCTGCTGGTTGATAAGGCCATGGAGCTGCGGTTCATAGGCGGCGTCTATGGCGGAAATATAAAGCCGACTCAATTCCTTTGCCTGACGCTGAAAATGCTGCAAATTCAGCCAGAGAAGGACATCGTCGTGGAGTTCATCAAGAACGAGGAGTTCAAGTATGTGCGCGCACTGGGCGCCTTCTACTTGCGTCTCACAGGCGCCGCCATCGATTGCTACAAATATCTGGAGCCGCTCTACATTGATAATCGCAAGCTGCGTCGCCAGAACCGGGCTGGACAGTTCGAGATCGTCTATATGGATGAATATATTGATGAGCTGCTGCGCAATGACCGCGTATGCGACATCATTTTGCCGAGGATACAGAAACGCTCCATATTGGAGGAGAATAACGAACTGGAGCCGAAGGTGTCGGTTCTGGATGAGGATCTGGATGATGAGGTGCCCAGCGAGGATGAGGCCAAAGACACCGAAGAACTGGATTCGAGTCGCCAGAAGAATAGCTCCTCTAGCTCGGTGCGGCGTCCGCGTCGTGCGCGCTCCAAATCCAAATCACGAGAACGGGATCGACGAGCTGCTCCTCCCAGCAGCAATGGTCGCTCTAGGGATTACTATGACGAGCTGGAAGAATATGATCGGCAGCGCAATCGAGTGCGGACGCAGAATCACAGCAGCAGCAACTACAATGACGACTACGATCGCCGCCAATCGGGTCGCAATGAAAACCGAAGGGACGGAGAGCGAGATCGACGTGATCGAGATCGTGAGCGGGACCGGGAGAGGGAACGCGAACGGGAGCGTGAACGAGAGCGGCATGGTGACAGAGAGCGTGACCGGAACGGCGACAGAGATCGAGAGCGTGAGAGAGAGCGCGATCGCAGCAATCGTCACGAGCATCGGGAAAGAGATTCCCGCAATGATCGTGATCGACGACGCTACTAAAATCGATCATCAAATTAATAACTTTTCATTATTTTGTAAAGACTTATAAGAAAATAATAAAATTTCAAAAACCAATTAAGACTCGATTAAATAACAACCAATAATTCAACTAGCTACAAATTAATCAGCTTGATGCGAACGCGATCATTGGGAACAGAGCTCAAAATGGTAAACAAGAACAGCTGTTTTAGGGCTATACTCAAAAAATTTAATTATTTAAAATATAAATAAATATATGAATAAAAAACTTGTGCGTTTTACAATTAAAGTTACCGCCAAGATTATTAAATTAGTTCTGCATGAACTCAACTGGTTCAATGTTAAACGCCTCAATGCGCTGGCAAACGCGACTAGTGGAAACACTGCAATTTACTCAAAATGGCATGGTAAACAAGAACAGCTGTTGCTGCAATGGAAAGCTCAGAGTTTAGAAAGTTTGCGAAACGCTGAATGAGTTAATGAGAGGCGGTAGAATAAATATTATTAAGTAGTATTGTGTGGAGTGCAAACGCAACTAGGCAGAAGTTCCGTTCCGCTAAATTACGCGCTCACACACACACATACACTCAAATTGTAAACGTCGCAAATTATAAAGAGCGCGATTTGTGTCAATACAGATAAACGAGTTTTGTTTTTGGTTTTTTGTTTTTAATTTAGTGAATAACAATTCAACATGATTTGCTAGTTCCTTTGTCTAAACAAACAATTGAAACAGTTGTTCATACTTAAAAATTTTAACAAATTTTAAAACCAAACATGAGCGTACGAAGCGATCGAGAGCCTTTGGTAAACGAGGCGGAGTATGAAGACGAGCAACTGCCACGCCTACTAGATGCTGCACTGTCAAGTTCAGATATAGAGGCCCCTGCATTGCCAGCAGGCAGTAGAGGCGGCAGCTCTAGCAAATGGTTTATATTAGAGCCCGCAGTGTTTTTGATATTCGTGGGTCGCAGCTTAATTGGTAAGGAATTTTGAATTTACTGCTAATCACAGAGTCTGTTACAGTCATACTTCATTGTATTCTAATTTTAGGGGCGGTGCTGCAGAATCAGATACTGTACCAAACCTGCGTCACGATCATGCACTTCAACGAAACCCAATGTGAGCCGCTGCTGGGCGTCGATCGGGGTTCGCAGGAAACTAAAGTAAGTTTCCTGAGCTCAAGCTCAAGATGTTATCTTCTATAATATATACAATGTATATGATATACTCTATATGTAATGATAGCCGTCTAGCTGATTGGATATTAACAATGAGCAAATGAAAGTAGAGAGAACTTCGGCATATCAAGCTGTATATGATATATGTGTATATATTGGTATAATAAGGGCTCAATGGAGCTATTTAGTATTGCAGTAACCTCCACATATATATGTGGTTGTAGTTACTAATTCAGTTTGCGTACTATGATCTATTTATATATAATATGAACTAGCTCTATTACAATGTCAGTATAGAAGGCAAAAATCAGTTATTGGATAATTATTTTAATAGCTCTCGGGCATACTTAGCTCTATTTTGGACTCTGTCCATTTTTTTAATCTTATATGAAAGAGTATTCAGAATTTTCTTATAATTCTCACGCTCTTTCTCTCTCTTGTTTTTATATCATTATAAAACGTACTTGACATTTCTTATCGCTTAAACTGTTATAATCCAATTTCCATTACGCTAACGACTTTGACATATACGCATCGAGAAATCCAATCAGAAATGAAAATAATGTATTTGATGATCTATTGTTTGACTAGACAGATAAGAATGAAAACCTCTATAGGCGTACATATATATATATAAGGAAATGTAGTTCAGCTCTTATCTGGGGCTTATGAGCGACGCCTTTAACCAGGCATGACTAATTGTTGCAGTGGTCGAAAATATTATCGATCGAGGAATACTTTGATCTGAATATACCCAATGGCACGCGATGAGTCATTCGGGTGCTAGTCGAACAGCTGCTTAAAGCCAATTGATTATTAGCACTTAAAATGTTTACTACCTAAATTGTTGTAGAAGCTGGAGACCGAGGTTCAAGGCTACTCGGCGGATATCACAATGGCCATATCGCTATTGGAGAGCATAATGCCAGCGTTTGTCAGCCTCTTCATCGGGCCCTGGTCGGATAAGTTCGGCAGACGGCCTATATTGCTAACGGTTTTCACGGGTAAGATGAATTTACTATAGTTACAGATATTAATAATTGATATATAATTAGAATTGTAATTATAAAAAATTAAAATTATATAATTATATTGTATATATTATATGAAGCGATTTGTTATGTTATATATTAATCAGAAATATGATTATTAATAATATTTGGGGTATATAATATATATAATCTATAATCTATAAAATGTATTTATGTATATATCCATATTCTCTTCCCGTGCTTAGGGTATGTGGTCGGCGGTGCCATCTTGATAGCCATATCAGAGGTGACAATGTTCCATAACATTAGCCCCTGGTGGTTCCTGCTTGCCTCGGTTCCGTCCGTTTTAAGCGGCGGCACTTGCGCCCTCATCACGGGCATTTACTGCTACATCTCCGACGTGGCCAACGAGGAGAAACGCGCCTTTAGGTAAGGCCCAGATCACCTTCAGCTCGATTCCTTGTGGAACTGCGAGTAACTCGTGTCTATTTTCAGAATGGTGCTGAATGAAGCATCGCTGTGCGCCGGCATGATGATTGGCAATGTGGCCAGTGGTTACATTTACGCAGCCACCAATTCGGTGACGCTGTTCGGCATTGCGGGGGGCTTGATGTTCCTGGCGCTGCTCTATGTGTACTTCTTGGTGCCGGAGAGCTTGCCGGCCGAGGACATACAGCAGGGATCGCGAGTGCGTGAGTTCTTTCGCTTTGGCCTGGTCAAAGATCTGGTCAGAACTACCTTATTGCCGCGTGCCAACTTCGATCGCGCCTTCATCTGGCTGACTATGGTGGCGCTGACCATAACCATCTTCAACATGGAGGGCGAGAACACGGTCAACATCATGTTCCTGCGCGAGCAGTTCGACTGGACCATCAAGGACATCAGTCAGTTCAATGCGGCACGCATCGTCATCCAGCTCATCGGCAGCGTCGCCGGCATGATACTGCTGCGGCGCGTCCTCAAGGTCTCCATCATTAGCGTGGCCATGCTCTCGCTGGCCGCCTGCGTGCTGGAGAGCACAGTGCGCGCCACGGCGAAGTATTCCTGGGAGATGTATCTGGGCATGACGCTTGGCATGATGCGCGGCGTGCTGGGACCCATGTGCAGAGCGATACTATCGCATGTTGCTCCAGCCGCCGATGTGGGTGAGTGACTACGACTATGCCTCCTCCTCTCCTCTCCTTGCCAGCTCTGTAAATTGTCTTCTCCTAGGTAAAATCTTCGCTTTGACCACGTCCATGGAAATGGTCTCGCCGCTGGCTGCTGCGCCGCTCTATACGTCTGTCTACAAGGCAACGGTGGCCTTCTATCCAGGCGCCTTCAATTTCATGAGCGTCGGCCTGTCCTTCCTCTGCTACATTCTAATGGCGTGAGTAGTGCTGCGAGGGTAGCTGAAACAGTTTTCCACTTAATGGCAAATATACATAAAAGCATTCCCTGCATCTTGAGCTCGACTTTTATGATTAAATGCGAGGGTAGTCTGTAAAGTCTTCCATCTATTCACATTCGTATGAACAAAAGTCGAAAACTCTTCATACTTCTCTCGCATATCTTCAACATCAGTCGAGAGAGATCTGTATTAGCTGCCCTCGTACATAATACATTTGCAGAGGTGCCTCTAAATTACTTTCTTTCTATCTTTGCAGCATCATCTTTGGCATTCAGAAATCGTTGAACAATTCGAGCGTCTATCAGACCATAGGCAGCTAACCAAAGATTACCTCAACCTTGGCTTAGCTCAATTCGCAAAACCTTAACGAACATGCAATTTACCTTTTTTGTGATGTCTAGACAGAATCGTTTTTACAAACATATGTATATACACAATGCATATATATATACATCATGTTAACTGTATGATAGACCATTTTTTATATCAGTATGAGAAGTATTAGCAGTTTTTTCAACTTGTGAATGTAATTTGTAATTTGTAAACGTAAAGGCAATTTGTTTCAATTCGTAACTGCCCATGGGAACTGAACTGTATATAAAATAATATATATATGTATACAGATATATACAATGTTATAATATACCAATTGTACAAAGATAGACAGAGACCAAGCCAATTGTAAAATATTATCAAAACTTAAATTGAAAGTAAACCAAATCTATATATTTTCTATAGCTTTAATGCTCAACTGGCTGTTCGTTAGATTTATTGCTTATTGGAGTTAAAGGGCTTTCGCTTAAGCCTAGATCAGATCACAATTATTTATAAATAGAAAATAAAACTAAACTAAAGTAAAGTAGGATATGTAGGCGAATCACATCGGAAGATCGTGAGCTCTCCTATTTCAGCACCTTGGCGTAGTACTCCCTATGCATAAGCTTGAAGCGCAGCACACAGCTGTAGAAATGTATATAATCATTAGTTTTAGCATTAGCATTAGCATTAGCAGCTTACCAGATGAATATGAATGACATCATATAGAAGCCCACACTCATGAAGTTGAAGAGGCCCGGATAATAGTGAAGCGAGCGTTTGTAGACGAAGGTGTAAAGCGGCGCAGCGACTAAATTAATAACAATTAATTATTAATTAAGAATAGCAATGCTAATGAACATCCGAGTTGGCCAATGACTTACCGAAAGGTGCAAACGATTGCAAAACATTTTTGATTGAGAAAATTTTGCCTGCAAAACAAAAAGAAATGGAAACATAGAAATGAAAGATAATGTAGATTTATATATGGCTAAAGCGTACCCAAGTCGGAGGAAGGTACTATATTAGAGACAATGGTGCGACACATGGGTCCGCCAATAGAGCGAAACACGCCCAGTACAACCGATAGGTACATGTGCCACGCCTGCGTCGAGCAGCCCCTCGCCAGATTCTTCAATATTTCCGAGGCGAATGAAAGCAGCGCCAGTGTCACCACAGATAGACGGAAGATCTGTAAATATATATAATATGTATAGAGTTGTGATAGTAGTAGATAAACATGTATACTATATAGATATACATACATATATCCAACTAAATTTGAATAGGTAAATGTTTTAATACCAGTCTTTGATCACATTAAAGTCTGATAGATTTCAAGAAACCCACATATATAGCATATCGTATATACCGTATGTGTTATATTTATCCTACTTGCTTACCTTGCGCAGTATCAGGAATCCAATGAGTGCGCCCACCATGGGCACCAGATGGCTGACCGTCTCGTAGAAGGTGTAATCCCTGACAGACCAATGGAACTTCTCGCGCACGAACAGATACATGACCGTCATGACGCCATCTATAAGATTGCAAATGCTAATTGATTTTCAAGTAAACGACTTACAGATATCCTATAATCAAAAGTAAAAGCTGTGTTTCACTACTGGCTGTTTCAGTCTTGACTGGCCGGCTAGTAAATGCCATAACGACCAGCAAAGACCCTACACACCGTTGCTACCCTCTTGCCTTCGAGTCAGATCGAACTTACCAAAGACAAAGATGGACAGGCACATGGCCATTGTGACCAGCCAAATAATTGCCCGTGCATGATTTTCGCGTGGCTTCGTGCAGGTGCTAACCATATCGCGGATGTGTGAAAAACTGAATAGTCCGGTCTTTTTGCCATCGGCGTCGGGCTGCGGCTTGCTCTGGGCCTGTGCCCGGGCCTTCACCTTGGGCGGCAGCTGCTCCACATATTTGGCCAGCAGATCCTCATCGAATGTCATATTGGGCGTGGCAGGCGTGGGCAGCTGATGACATTGCTGCTTCTGCTTATCCTGCTCTGCATCGCAATCGGGATTCATGAATATGGGCGGACAATCAATGGCCACGCACTCCGGTTGCAAATCAGATGCCGTAATGGGCATTTCCTTTTCTTTATTGGCGGTGGAAACGGTGGCCTCGTTTGCCATCCTGGCCTCATTTTCTTGCCTATAATGCAGGCTTTCCGGTACGAAAAATATGACAAACAAGCAGCCCAATGTAGTGATGCAGCCGGAGATGCCAATGGTGGTGGCCGCGTTGGTGGCGGCATAAACAAAGCTGGACAAGAGCGAGCCACTGGTCAATCCGATGAAGAACAGCGACTCCATGAAGATCATGCTGAAATAACAGACAAAGCAAAAGATAATGCCCGAGAGGAGGCTAGATATAACTGTACCTACTACTAGAGGGTTCCACTTACCGATATGGCCGCGTTTTGGTGTCGGTTATGTCCGAGATGAAGCACAGAGCTGCCACGGAGAAGACACAATTGCCGCCAAGCATGGAGTGCGGTACGGCGGCCGCAATATACCACCAAGGATTGATTTCATAGTAGGTGGACAGCTCACAAATGGCCGATGTAACCAGAAATGATAGAGCGAATCCTGCAAAAACACATAATTGAGGAATATTATTTCAGTGCTACACTCAATTCCTTGGTCGCTTAACTGGCCACAATCTATTCTATTCACTCACACTGGCACACAGCATTCAGAATTGAGCTTAGCTTAGTAAAGCTGCTGTCTCGCTCTCGCACAGGACAAAGCAAATTATGCTCATTTACACTAGGCAAAATCTTGGGCAAGTGAATGGTGTAGCAAAACAAAATGAAAGCAGAGAGAATGGGCAACATGGGCGTCCCAGCCATTTTTTGAAGGGGATAATTAAATGAATATAACTTAACATAAATAAAGTGACCCTGTATATTGGGAGAAAACTACTAACAGAATTTAATTTTGCTCAGAGTTCGAGGCCCTTTCGTTGCTTACGCCCATGTTTAAAAGAGAACACAATTAACAGTTATGTAATAGCTCACACTCTGACCAATCGCAGACACACAGGCAAAGATGTACAACATTTTCATTTACCAATCATGGACACGATGAGCAGTGGCTTGCGTCCGTAGTGATCCGACCAGGAGCCAATGAAGAGGCCACAAAAGGCAGGCACAATGCTCTCGAGCAGCGTGCGCGAGAGAAATAGGTTAGCCACATATGGCTGCAGTTCTGTTTCGATTGCCTGGAAAACAGTGATTTAGTCGTTGTGCAATCACTAAATAAATAAGTTCGAGTAAAAACCTTGATCTCGGAGCTGGCATTTTTATCATCCAGCAATTTGCAATCGCTTACATTGTAGCGAAAAATCACTGTGCAGGTCTGGTAGATGATCTGATTTCTCATGATGGTACCTAAATGTTGATAGATATTTAGTGCCTTGTGTAAAAGCAGTTTCTAATGTTGGCACTTACCTGATAAGGTTATCGAAAAGAGCAGCATAAACACAACCGGTTCTATGTAGACCATATAAAAAATTCGATGCCATTGAATTTCACGAAAGCGTTTTAATGTCAATGTTTGCGAGACTTTTTGGACCATTATGACAAGTGTTCTTTAAAGCAAAATTCTTGATCTGGATTGCAGCGATTGGAGATTTGTCAGCTATGCTCGGCTATGCGTAGTTTTTCTTAAGAATGCCTCAAATGTCTCTAGCACTTATAGGAAAAGTTCTTGGCTGGTCAACTTGTTGGCAACTGAATTTCAAATCACAAAAAATGATTATTTATTATATTTTTCAAAGGTACAGTTCAACGAATCTATTTATTTAGAGGCCAGTTTGAGACTCGCCTAGTTACATTATATGTTTATCAATTAGACTCTGGCGAATTTCAGCAATGACATATTGGCAATAAACAAAAAAAAGGTATAACAATGCGCACTTCACAGCTCAAATTTATATTACGTATACGACAGGTAAATACACACGCACAGATACACTCACACACCAATGTTGACCTTATTTATGTTTGAATTCCGTTAAGTTCAGTTTGGGATCTGAGATGCGACTTGAATCGTTGCTGGATTCTGTAAATGAGCTGGTCGTTGTACAGTCTCTGGGTTTTTCTAGCCGGTCGAATGCGAAAACGTAGAACAATCACTAAAGATGCAGCCGAGCACAAATATTCCGCAACACTTGTTCATCAAAAATCAAAGTTAGTTCCCTCCATATGTACACCTCTCCTACACACATGTAATTTAGCTATGTACTTCAATGGCTGTTGCTTCTCACAAGCATTCCGTTCTCAACACACTCGATTGCTATAGTCAGGTAGTTCGATATTGCAGCGACAACGTTTCCGATTCGTTTAATTTCGATTTCGCCGACTGCCGGGCTTAAATAACTTTTTGTGGCTCGCTCCCGGCGGCACTTGCTACAGGTTTGAACACTCCTAGGCACACTTTCTGTTGTTTCTATGCCCGCCAGCTAGATGTGCAATGAGAGTATATCGGTATTGTTGTTTCCAACAGTCAAGCTTAGCAGAAGCCTAATAAAGTAGCTTATATTAGTCAACGAATATTTTCCAGACTGCGAGCGAGCATGGCACAGTCGTTCATAGCCACTACATCCAATTGTTTTCGTCGTGCAAATGAGAAGCACGAGCCACAGTCAAAGCCCGCAAGAGAGTCGTAAAAAAATGAAAACAAATTTCGTTAATCAAATAAATCCCATTTAAATCAGTAAAATCACCAAAACATCTGTTGCTAGATATATGCGATATTTATATGTATTTTCCTTTTCCTATATATGCAGTATGTATTATTCAGTTATACAGTATGTAACTCAGTTTTTCAATTTGAAGCTGTAAAGCAACTAGAATTTATTGTCTTAAAACGCATTCAATCAAAGCTCTAATTATAAATTAGCAAACATAAATTAACGCTCGATTTAGCATCTGAAGTTTGTTTGTTTGTCTTTTTTATTTATATAAAAACGTACATATTTATAAATGTATGTATATATATTTATTTATATATATATATGAAGAGTCTGTCCAGTCACTTGACGCACACGCCAATGTCTGGAAATTAACATGGCGCTTCTATTAACCCATATCTAAAACCTAGTGTAAATGTCAAAGGCATGTCAAAAATTGTAAATAATTATTAATTGTGGTAAATAATGAAGGAAATTATAGTCATGGTTTCTGACACCCCCTTGTTTAGGTTTCTATTTATCATGTAAGCCCTGAATTGGACTAAAATTAACTTTAGTCTCTGTGGATTCACTTTTGTTAAATAATCGAAAGTTGACTTATTTCATTTGGTTATATAGATTTCAGTCAGGTATACACGCACCTATGATACCCTCATCACTCTTCTGTATGCTTTCATTTATATTCATATCGGTAAATAGCAGGTATCTACCAGTCGTGCACTCCCTACCGCTTTAACTTGTATAGCTTCGCTACCCTCTAAGTATCCAATGTAGGGTATATTATAGTCGAGCACATTATTTGATTTTTATGCTGGCTTATAAAACCCCCGCTCCATCCAACACTTCGCACATTCGGTGATTTTTGTATATGTAAATATTTTAATAGGGTTTTAAATATTTTTTTATATACCAATATATATAATATATCCGCCGGATCGACCAATTTGTATAATTGATGTGCAAATTTGCCGAATGACTAGCAAATATAATATAATTAATTTTTTTGTTTAAGTATCATTTGAAAATCGGTTCATAGTGTGCGGGATATCTGGATTTCTTTCGCCAGACGATGCTGAAAAAGAAAAGAAAAACAAATAGATTTTTTGTTAAAATTAGCATAGTAAGTATTATTTGCATAAGTCTGTGAGCTACGCACAGCAGCAAGATTATCGCCAGCCCAAACAGATTGGCGCTGATCAGGTTGAAGAAGCCTGGCGCAGTGCTCAGCGTGAGCGTATAGAAGATGATATACAGCGTGGACGAGGCGAACGGCGAAAGCGTCTGCAGCACGCTCAACAGCGCAAAGACTTTGCCTGCAATAGGAAGTGAAGAGATACAATCGACTAGAGAGAGATACAAGCAAGTCGAGATACATCAAAGTAGAAATTGATGTATCCGCATATACTACTATTAGATACATTAAAATACAAAACAAAGATACGAATCTAGCCCGAAGCGCTATCTTGTTACATAGGAATCGTATCTTTCAGATACATTTGAATGGGGGCACCAATAATGTTTCTGAAAGATTGAAATGCCATACAGAGATACGAATGTGTGTAAAGATACAGTTATATCTAAGAGATGTATACATGTGTATGTCGTACGTATCTGAAAGCTACAAATGTAGCTCAAAGATAAGAATTCAACTGAAAGATACAAATACAGCTCGCACAAACCTCGCTCATCGGCTGGCAAGAGATTCGTTATCATCGTGCGGCACATGGGATTCACCAGGGATTTGAAGAGGCCCAAGCCAATCGCTAGATAGATTTGCCAGTCAACAAAGGCAAAAGCTTTCATCAGACTGCTCGCCGCGTGACTCAGGAGCGAGATGAGTGCCAGCCACAAAACGGCTGATCCGCTGCACTGCAAGCCAGAGTAAGTGATTAACCAATGCACAGTTGGATGACAAGGGGGAGTCCCACCTGGCGCAGCAGCCATAGAAACAGAATGCCACCCGAGCCGGCCACAGCGGGCACCAGAATGCTCACCGACTCATAGCTGGTGAAGTCACGTACGCTCCAATGGAACTTGGCGCGCATGAACAGATAGAAGACAGAGTTGCTGCCATCTTAAAATATGGGAGAGAGAGAGAGAGACAATATATAGTTAGGGATACCAATTTGTAATAGTCAACCCACTCACCCGACACAAAGGCTGTGAGCAGCAGCACACACATCAGCAGCACGAGTATGGAGCGATCCTGGAAGAGACGTCCCCTCGCACAGCTTTGCCACAACTCCCGCACGACGAAGCCTTCGGAGAGCTGTCGCTGTGGCAAACTCTCGGGCAGCAGGGCGGCCATGAGGAACAGCGCAAACAATATCGAAGCAGCTGAGATAACAAAGATAACGTAGGCATTGCTGGCCTCATAGACGTAGCCAGAGGCAAAGCTGCCCAGCAGCAGGCCCACATAGATGCACAGCTCATAGGCGATCATTCTATATAAAGGTGGAAGAGATAAAGAAGTCGTTGAGGTAGGTCAAATATATCTTAAAGTTAATCAAAGATGGAAATGTATGTTAAGGGGACTTCCAATATTCCGAATAAGATTAAAATGTATCTTTAAGATTATTTGCAGCCGAGAAAGTCCAAGATAGAAAGACATAAGTATATACATTTCATATAGGCCTAGCTATATGTTTCTCCTCTCTCTCACCTATAGGATCTCATTTTGCCCGTAGAGACATCGCCTATAAAGCAAACAGCAGCCACAGAGTAGGTGACGCTGTTGCCCAGCAGCGAGAGCGGAATGATGGTTATCACGTAGAGCCAAGGGCTAACCAGTCCATGGCGTTGCATGGACACATACGCGATAGCAGCGGAAAGTATGTACTGTAGAGCATAGCCTGGAAAGGAAGAGAGAGATGGATATTGATTTGAGTTTAAAGTTATTAGTAAATAACTGGGTCCACCTAAGTAGGAGGCCAACAGCAGGGGCTTGCGTCCATAGCGATCCGCCAAGGCGCCAATGAATAGACCACTGAAGGCGGGCACAATGCATTCGACGATCTTGATGGTTAGGAAAACTCGTGCTGCGTAGGGCTGGACCTCAGCTTCGATGCGCTTCGTCTCATTTGTGATATTTCGTGTGCCCAGCAGGCTGCAAAGCGTTTCCGGGTAACCAAAGCCCGCCGTGCAGCTCTGATAGATGATCTGAGTTTTCAATATGGTGGCTGAAATACAAGTTACGATTAGTTGCATCTAGTTTATGCGGTATGCAAGACTTACAGGAGAAATTATATGAGAAGAGCAAGATCAAGATCAGCGGCTCCAAAAGAAAAGTACTTGGCTGTGCGCATATCTGAGCAGCCGCTCCCGGATTGGGCTCTCGATTTTGATCTGAATTGGGGTCAAGGCTGACAGTTGGCACTACAGCATCCTGCTCGTCAAGGCTTGCCTCATTGATGCTGCTAGAACTATTCCGGCTGCCTGCATCATGGCTATGCCGTTGGGATTTGCCGAAGAGGGTCTCATGGGCGTGCGGTGCTTCCTCCATAATCGATTTGCAACTGAGCCGTATGCAAAATTGCTTGAGTTGCTCATTTCAATTGAGTTAAAGTTGCGTTGCTTTCAGATAAAGAGCCGACATTCTGTATGCATGTATGCGTGGGGGTTTCCATTAGGACAACAGCAATGTTTATATTCGTATATGTGTGTGCGTGCAAGTATACACTTGTTTATCGTCGTTTGATCCAATTGATGACTCAGCAGCGAAGTCGAACGACCAAGCTACGATTTAACTGCTGAACGTGCCTTATCTTAAGCTAACAACTAACTTTAATAAAGCCCTTTTAACAAACAAGTTGCACTGCCAGCCGTTTATTGTATTTATCAAGTTTTTAAGTAAATAATTATAAAAATTCTTGAGAGCACTACGGAGTTCTGATTAACCTGGGTTTTGAATTACAATTTTCCCTTTTTTGAATATTGGCGGCAAATCCCCTCTTTTTCAAAGCCAGTCAATATAAATACCAAATCGCAAATTTGCTAAATAAGCCAGCTTTCAACAAGCAAACATACTAAGCTAAAATACCAAATTTCGATTATTGTACAAGCTATCGACTTTGAATTGATAAATCGAAAAGAAACCTCCGAATGGAAGACCACGGAGATTTGCAGTCCTTGCTCTTGGCAACCAAAACAGGAAAGGAAATTTCTGAATATCATATTAAATTGCTGCAAAAACAAAATATTCGAACGGTGGAAGAGTTCGTGCATGCAGATAAGCTGCACACGAGACTTGCGCTGAGCAACGATAAAACGGAGCAAATTAAGCGGGAGATCTTGGATTTGTGTGTGCGCAGGATTAAGTTTAAAACCATCTATAAATGCGAACCCATAAGCTACTCCACAGGCATAGAAGAGTCAGTGTGTGAATACAGTTCACTTGTTTCATAGGTAAACAAAATATATTTTGCAGATTGGATAACCTTTTGGATGCGATTGGCCAGCCTTTGCGGCCTGGTCGTGTTTGGGAGCTCGTTGGGGAAAATGATGTGGGAAAAACCGAACTTCTACACACGCTGGCTGTGAATTTCGTTTGTAAACAAGATGACAATCAGCAGGTGCTGTTTGTGGACACCAATTTGGACTTTGATAGCGAACGTCTAGACGAGATCCTGCGAAAGAAGCAGCTAACTGACGAAGCTATAGATAACTATTTAGATAGGATTAGTGTGGCTAAAGCATGCACTGCAGAAGCTTTGCTGGCAGCTCTTCAAGAACTGCTCAGAAGGCTAACAAGCTCTAAGGGAAGCTCTGAGAGTGTCTCGGACATAAAGCTGATCCTCATAGATTCCCTGACAGCTTGTTATATTCTATATCGCAGCAGCTATGACCGGAATAAGGGACGCAGCTTTCTAACAGAGCTGACCGTAGTTATACGCAAGCTAGCTGTGGAGCATAGCATAGCTTTTATCATTGGCAATGCGATATTTAGTTTGGATGAAGAATGTGAGCGAAATGATTTATCTTAGTTTTATATATACATATGTTATCTTAATATACAGCAGCTGCAGATGATGATGAGGAGGAGCTGAGCCACATAGGGGCTGTGAATCCAGAGGATTGCAACTACTTGGGGGACTACTGGAGCTCCGTTTGTACACTCATATTGTCGCTGGAGCTGCCAGAGGATTCTGTACAGGAGAATGATCTGCGTGTGCTTAAAGTGCTTAGCAACAGCTTTGGCATCGGCGAGGGCAGCTGTTGGTTGCGCCTGACTGATGCTGGCATCATTTGAAACCTATTTAACGTCTAGCTCCTGGTCCCAGTTGCTGTTGCTGGTACGATTTCATCACCCTTTTGCCCGGTTCTATGCCATCGCTTAAACCAGGTCGTTTCCTCTTATTGCCAGCAGCGCTTTTGTTGACTGTTGTTGCTGGCGCTTCCATCTTAGGCTCATTTCCAGCAGCCACAGCCTCAACGGAGAGATCCGAGTCGTGCGCATATTGACAGCTTGTGCCGAAGCGACATCGTCCTTTTCTATAATTCCAACATATTTTTCGTCCATTTTTTAGCTGTAAATGTGCATCGTTGTTGACCATTTTCACGTGTCTTTCCAGTGAAGCGGTCTTGTGCAGCTCTGCATCCAGAAATGGATTACTAAATACATCGCCGGTTCGTTTTGCAGCCGCATTATCCAAAGCATCGCTAGCACTGGGCAGCTTTAAGGGTTTCTGTGTGGCAGGCGCGCTGAAATTTATACTTTTATAAATACTAATTATAAATATATAAATACTGTTTTTTCACCTTTGCTTGTTGTTTGTTTCCTCTTCTTCTGAGTCACTGCTGCTGCTTTCCACATCGGATTCAGATGAATCGCTATAATCAGCGACAAGCGACATTGTTTACGTTTATAACAATAGACAGTGTGACCGCGGTGCACAGCTACTAAAAAATGCCAACATGCACTGTTTATAAATATACTAACTGGAATATACCGCATATAAATGCAATTAAGGAAATATTGTGTATAACGGAAAATACTAAACAACAGAGGCAAAAAACTTTTATTTGAACAACTTATATTCTGAACATTTCATTCATTTGTAATGAGTCTGCTTTATTTCATAATACATATGTATAATCACTTTATGCATGCTTTAGTTAAGGTGTATATGTATGTATATATGTGTGTGTATATATGTATATGTACGTGTGTAATGTGTAATTAGCTAATTACTATTTATACAATTTATATAAATATAAAAAATTAAACGTTTCATAGACTTTGTTACAGATTTGTTAATATGTTATGTTATGGTTTGTTTTGTTTTGTTTTGTTTCGATTGATTGCTGACAGCCACATCTCACTGCTGTGTGTAAAAAAACATTTAATACAATAAAGGAAATCAGTTGTAATCTCCCCGTCGATCAGGGAAATCCTCCGCACCACTCATAACTTCTGCTTGGCTTTCGCGTGGCTAATGAGGCAGATGAGGAGACGCTAATCAATTTGTTGACGTGCCGACGGATCATCGCGATCAATGGGCGGCGGCGAGGTAAGCACTTCAACGTTTTGCGCTGGTCCGGCGGTCAAATAGCCTGCCGTTGGATTGATGCCTGAAGGCGAAGAATATGTTAGACATGGCTTAATAGATATACTGCTGATCCCTAATGCATTACCCGTTAAGTAGCCACGTATGTTGGTGTCTGTGATAAAGAGATCATGTCGCTGATCCTTGAACTCCGCCCAGACGGGATGCTTGAGCAGGATTTGCGTGACACGATCGCCGTAATTGAGATTGTGGGTCATGCCCTTGAGCGCAGCGACAATTTGTGCCTTGACCGCGGATGCATTGTCCACAAATTCCAAGCGACTGTCCAAGAGGCCCAACAGAAAAGGTATGAGACCTACCTCCAGTGACTGGCTAATCAGAGAGTCCTAAAAACAAAACAAGTCAATGCTATAGTCAGATATTCTCGTTTAACTTCTGGTCAGCCCTCCACTTACATGCTGATGCTTGAAGAGTCGACTCATCGCCTCGCAGGACTTCTCAATGCAATCCCTATTATGTTCCATGCAACGCTTTAGCGGCGCAATGCATTCCGTTTGCGATATGGCGCTCACGCAGAACTGTGAAAGGAGAAGGGAATTAATTTGAAGGGATCAGCCAGTGAGTCCCAGTGGAAACTCACCTCCGATAGCGACAGCTGATGTAATACTGATAGCGTGTTCTTTGGCTGCACTGACAGCAGATTAAACAGCTTCGGTATGTGTCCCAGCACGGGAATCTCGTCCGCTAGATTAGGCTGCGACCGTAGTAGCTCCACAAGCGCCGTCGTGGACAAGTCCAATACGTCCTGTTCCGTCGAGCTCTTGCTGATTTGTTCTACAACATAATCCAAGAGATCGGACAGAAACTGTTTGGGTTTGCGCAACGTCCAAGCCGGATTGCTGACGAACAGGCGCAAATAGACGCCGGCAACAACAATTTCGTTGGACAACAGATCCTTCAGCATTTCCGGGTCCTTCCACAGGTACCGCGGATTTATCTTCTGCTGCTGGTAGAATCGCTTGCAGGTCTCTGCCACGGCCTCGCAGACACTCGAGCGCGTATCGTCGTTCCAAATCAACTCCGGGTGCTCGTGTATAGACTCGAACAGCTGTACAGAGGTCGCCGCGGATTCGATCATGGCATCGATGAAGAGCCCGGGTAAGAATTTGGATATAGTAATCCGCACCTTGGGTCCACTCAAGCGGTCCGCTGTCATTTTGGCTAAGATCTCGGCGCACATTTCGCGTATCTGCGGATTGCGTGAATTGCAGAACATGTCCAGCAAGTAGATGACGGCGCCCTTCGTCTGCGCCTCTTTGATCATCTCCTGAACGTTCATGAGGCCAGAGAGCGTCTCGAGCACTTTCACCTGGCTGGCCCGCAGCTCGGGATCCCTGAGTGCCACCAAATAGTTGCCCAGTATCTCGCAGGCAGCTACTTCCGAGACGCACTCCTTGTTCCGGGAAACCAGAGCAACGACCTCCAAGGCCACAGCCTTTACACTGGAACTCTGAAAGGGTATCAAAATGCGAGATTAGCTATAGCAATGGCAATTGAAGGGATGCCTCGTCTGGCACTTACATCTGCGAATATATTGTTGGCCAGGAAGCCAAATATCATATCGAAATTGCCAATGCATTGGATCTCCACCTCGGCATTCGCCTTGATCACGGCAATCAGGGCACGCAGCACCATCGTGATGTGCAGCTCCAGCTGCGAGTCGTTGGCGTAGTCGTATTGGGCCTGCTGCAGCGACAGCTGTCGCTCCACCTGTGCGTCCGTTTCCAGCTTCTTGCGACTCTTCGAGCGATTGTAGGCAGTCAGCACCTCATCGAAGGTGCCGCCAGTCTTGGCCTCCATTTGCTGCTGCTGCTGTTGGAGCTGCGGATGATTGGGTGCCAAGGTGGGCGTTAGGATGCCATCGCTGCCCATCCTGGGCCCTGCTGCTGGTGCTGCAGCTGCGGCTGGTGGCGGCAGCTGCTTGAACTGCAGATATTGATAGGCATACTTTAAGTACTCCAGCAGATCCATAATGAACTGCTTGGGCTGGGCAATCGGATACGTGGGCATGTCGTTGTAGATTCTGATGAAGATGCCTCCAATCTGCAGCTCATCCCTGGAATATAATAATATTATGGATATGTAGATTATAGTCAAGCCCAGGCCACTCACTTGTGCGCATCGAATTCGAAGCTGGAGACCAGCTCGTAGACCTGAGCAATGTCCTCGTGCGTCTCTTTGGCGGAGGCCAGACGCTGCTGCTCAAGAAAGTCCTTGAGCTGAGCGCGCGTTGCATTATCCCAGATGAGATAGGGGTTACGAGTGTTGGCCGTCAGCAGCTTCAGCACCTCGCTGTCCCTGGCCGTCGCCAGCTGGTTGGCAATGTAGCGCGTGAGCAGCCGCTCCAGCACCTGACGGATCAGCATATTCTTCGCCTCGCCAGAGACAATGTACTTCTGCTGAATGGAGTTGGGCTGACGGTGCTGGTGCTGCTGCTGTTCGCTGTCTGTGGAGCTGTTAGTGTCGCTGCTGACGCTCGAGTCCTGCTTGGTGAGCGCCGGCGACTCCTTCTCCTTCTCCTTGCTCGCCGTAATGGCCAGCTGCTTGCTCTGCAAGGGATTGTGTGCATTCTGCATGTAGGCCGAGTTGGTGCTGGAGGCCGAGGGCTTCGGCTTGATGGCGGGCACTGCCGGCTTGGCCGCCGGATTGGCCGGCGAGCTGGACTCGCTACCAGTGATTGGCTTGTTGCGCAGCTCCATGGTGTAGCCGGCCAAAGCTATGCAGCCGAGCACAGCCATTTTGGCCAGGTTATTGGCCAACTGCTGCTGGTTGCTCTTGTCGCTCACCTCCACCCCGCTCTCGTCCAGCGTGTAGTCGTACTCGAACATGAAGAGCAGCAGCGACCAGAGCACGCCATTGCGCGCCAGATTGCACTGCAGGTCGTAGTTGTTGGCCGCCAGGCTGGTCACCAGGCTCACCGAGAGCGTGTGCTTGAAGTAGACCACGCGACAGACATCGGACAGCAGCTGGGGCAGCTGTATGATCTTCTGCTTGCACTTCTCAAAGTTGCAGGCGACCTCGAAGCAGCGCGTCACGTTCGATATGACCTGGTAGTGCAGCGAATCCGGCTTCGAGTCGGCGCCCAGGATGGAGACGCAGCGCGTATAGGCCTCTAGCAGCGCCTCGATGCCCTCCTCGCGCCGCAGCTCCTCGGCATTCAAAGCCGAGCAGTGCACCGTGTGATAGCAGAGCTCCGAGGCGGCGGTCAAGAGCTGCGCCTCCTTGGAGAACAGCTCGTCGTCGCGGGTCTCCAAGCGTATGGTCTTGATCAGCTGTGGGTAGCCGGCGTACTTATAGGGACGCAACACTGCAAGCACACAGGAAATTAGATAAGACAGAGATTGGAACAGGACTAATGGAACTGACCGTCGGCATAGCGCTCGAAGAGAATGCTTTGGGTGCGCAGTATGAGCACTATATTGTTGGGGTCCGGGCCTCCCGAGCTCCAAACGGAGCGCGAGCACAAGAACTCATAGGCCTGATTGACCTTCTCGAAGATCTCGCGCCCATTGGGATTCTTGTCGGGGTGATACATCTGGGCCAGCTTGTAGTAGCTCTTGCGTATCAAGGACTCATCTGGCTTGGGCACCTTGTTCAGGTCGATGCCCAGATCCTGGTAGGCTTGCTGTATGGTCATCTGTGGCGGCTTCTTCTCCACCTCCTTGCGCCAGGCATCCAGCGTGTGCTTGAGCAGCTGCACCGGATCCGCGATGGGCCAGTTGGGAAACTTCTGAGTGTCGCACAGGTGGCGCAGGTAGTAGATGTGACAGAAGAGCTCGTTCTCCAGCTGCGGATAGCTAATGACGGGTATGGCCAGGTAGGGATAGCGGGCCATCGTATGGCCACGCAGACGCGGCGTAAAGTCGGCAATGTGTGCGGCAATCTTCTCGATGAGCAGCCGCCGCATCTCCGAGCTCCAGATGACCTCGGGCGTGTCGAACTCTCCGAGAAATATCTCAGCGAACTTCTCGGCGCTGTAGTTCTCGAGGAAACAGACCATTGCCTCCGGCAGCAGCTGGCCGAGAATGCTCCGATGCATGATGCCCGACTGAGATGTCTGAAAAGAGAACAGAGTTTAGTCAGAGTCTGGAGTTGCCCCATCCCGACTCACCTCCTCGCTGCGAAAGCCCTGCTTCATGTGCGTCATCTTCAGGAATCGCGTTATGGGCAAGATGTTGCTGCCCGTGTACATGAGCATGAAGTAGAAGACGCCGGTCATGTACACCTTCGGCATCTCTGGATTGTCCTCCATGATCTGGCAGAGCAGCGTGGCCACGCGCTCCAGCAGGCCTGGGTCGTGGGTCAGGCACACCTGCACCACGTGCGGCA